TGTGCATTTGCGACTCAATTCTGACGAGAGGTGAGTTTTGACTGTAGTGAGGACAGTGGGAAAGGGGGAAGCGTGTCATTTTTGGGGGGAGTGGGGAGAGGACTGATGTGTGTGGACTCTTTAAAGCAGGGGTGCTAGACTGGTCTGGGGGCCACGTTGGGCCCACCTTTTATGAATGTCTGTGTCTTTTTCTTTTTTGTCTTCAATGCCCTGTGAGTAGGTTTTACATTTTTAAATGGTTGGGAAAAATACACTTTGTGGCACATGAAAACTGCATGAACTTTAAGTGTCAGTGCCCCTCAGTGGAGCTTTATGAGCACTCAGCCGTGTTCGTCCGCTCAGGTGTTGTCTGTGGCAGCCCTGTCTGTCGGAGCCGGGACACACGTGGGCGGGCCCTCCAGTCCCAAGTGCTTGACGCCCTGGCCTTTTCTAGATAAACGGTTGGACTGCGCTGTCAGGGACAGCTTGAGAGTTCCAGATGGAACAGAAGAGGGAAGGAAGAGAGCTTGAGGTCTACAAAGATGAATCTCAGAATTCTGCCACAGGCGGTTTCTGGCAGGAGAAGCAAATGTTTTTATTTTCTGTTTTATTTTGTTCAGTCCAGCTGGTTAGATCAGTAAGCAGGGTGCGGGGAGGGGTGGGGGGGAGATTGTGGTTTTAAATAACAACCAGTGATTTTTTTTTTTTCTGCTGCAAGGGTTTATTATTATGTTTAGTCTACAAATTTGATCTTTTAAGAAAAATGCACAAAATATTCAGTTGAAACCTCATTTCTGGTTCATCAAATTTCAAATATATTTTCCTGTGCTGAACAATATATTCTAGTGCTGTCGAAAACACAGCCAAATGATTTGTCTTTGTTCATTTATACACACTCTGTAATTTTTTGAAAACCAAGATTAAGATACAAAATATCAACAAAACCACCAGTGATTCTTATTTTAATCTTGGAACTTGGGTGCAAGGTATAGAATCCATCTTTTCTCAAGCAGGGAAGTCTCAGCAGGGCAGGGCAGTGATGAGCCTTTGGTTTCCTTTTCAGTAGGAGGCCCAGCCTGACGAATGACTGACTGGAAAATGTGTGTGCACAGGGGACCGCGGGCCTATCTAATCTCTGACATACGGTCATGGGGAGTTTTCTTTAATTTTACTCAGACGGGACTTGCCAAGATTAAACCTACAGATCTGTTCAAACTTGAAGGAAATGAAATTCTATCTTTTGTAGAATTCAAAGGCTTTTTTTTTTTTTTTTTTTGTAATGTAACATTTCATCTGTACGTTGTCTTCGGGGTATGCATTCCTATCTAATAGGAATGTCTAACAGTTGAATTTTAATTGTCCTCCTAAGTACTTTCTGCCTTCTGTGAATACAGTAGCTAAGCTTTTTAAAGTCTGAATATTTTGTGTTAGTTTGGTTAGAGCAGAAGTGACAGCAATTATGATCATTAATAGTAACATTTGTAATATGGAACGATTGATCTTTACTGTTCCACTGTCGTTAATCATTTCACATATTTAGCCGCATTGTCTTGACTGTGAACTTAGAACTTGAAGACAGAGTACATTAGGGCTATTTGGATCTGTTATACCAAATAGCTTTCTTTCAAGGCTGTCGAGGAATACAGAAGTATATACAAGACTGTTAGATGCTTTCCTAGTTCTTTTTTTTTTTTTTAATATTTTATTTCTTTATTTGAGAGAGAGAATGAGATAGAGAGAGCATGAGACGGGGGAGGGCCAGAGGGAGAAGCAGACTCCCCGCCGAGCAGGGAGCCCGATGCGGGACTCGATCCCGGGACTCCAGGATCATGACCTGAGCCGAAGGCAGTCGCTTAACCAACTGAGCCACCCAGGCGCCCTGCTTTCCTAGTTCTTACTGGTAGCGAGTGAAAGCTCTTTCTGTCTGCATCTGATGAAAGTTGTTCATGTATTGTACACAAAGATGGTGAGTCAAGTCTATAACCATTTATTATATCACTCTCAAGGAAAGGGTTTTTTCCTTCTACTCTTTCTAGGGGAGCCAGACATCCAACAAATAGTCTTTGCTATCGGGAAATTTAAAATATGGTCAGTCGGGTTACATTCCCTCTTTAAGCTCATCTGTTGTGTCACCTGTGGAGAAGGAGAAATTAGATGTTTGTTAAGTCTCAGTCATAAGATACCTACATTTTACTGAAAACATGACCTTTTTTCGAGGATAAAGGAGATATGCAGGCCAGGATATATGGATTCCCTAACGGGAATGGAAGAGGAGAACGGATACCTCGATTGTTCTCCATCTCCGGTTGCTGCCACCCCGTGCACTAAGTCCCCTGCTCACCTCGGCTGGTGCCTGGCTCAGGGTGCATGCTCAGTATGCACCTGTGAGGCAGGCAGATGCCACCGAGCGTGCGGAATGTCTCATCACTGTTTTCAACTTGAATAAATACAATTAGTGAATGCCAGATCTGGGCCCTAGAGATACAGAAAAAAATAGGATAGGCTCTGTTTTCCCGTGATTTATGGGCCAGTGGGGGATCTGGGCTGGAGAAGTGAGTATAATCTAATGTGGGTATTAGTCCAGTCTTCTGGGTGGAGTTCAGTGGGACGTTGAGGTGGGAGCTGGTCTGCCTGGAGTAGCGGGAGAGTTTCTCCAGGGCTGGGAGTGTTCAAAAGGCCTCAATAAAGAGATGCAGGATTTTGCAGGCAGAGAGTTGGGTGGGGGTTGTGTGGAAGGTGCATTCTGGGGAAGGGTGTACGTTTAAGCAAAGAGGTTTGCAAGTGTCTGGTGTTTTCAGGAGTCTATGGGTGTGCAGCCTGGGGAGAGCAAATGACAGTGATCACCGTCCCGAATTGTTTTCTCTTCACACCGCAAACGTGAGTTGCCGTGTGCTGAATAAGGGCTACCATGATGATTCTCTGGCAGCTATTAATAGTTATTTTGACTTTAGGAAGATGATGATTGGCCTTAGCTCAGTTAAACATTTTTCTTTTGATTAAAAGTGTAACAAAGGAGAAAGGCCTGGTGCGTATGTGACAGATTATCATGCAACATTGGGAATTATTCATAGGATAGTTCGCGAACTTACTAATTGTTCCATGCTTGGACTCTCAGTTCTCCAGTTTACCCAAGAACAGTGCTTTTTTTCGCATCTTGCTTTATCATCTACCACAGTTTGAGTCCAAAGCTTTTGATGTGTTCGATACCAGTACTGAGTACAACAGATGTTAAGGTTTTAAAGAGCGGCTTCTGGGAAGACCGTTCACGGTAGCAAGGTGGTGCCCACATGAGGGTAGCTTGCAGAGGCCCGGCGGGCAGAGGTCATGTCGGCTTCCTCATCACAAGTGAGATGATGCTCTCTCAGTAGGAGAAAGAGGCATTATTGCAGATTATTCAAGGGGTCGCACTCTCCTTTTATTTGACCATAACATTAAATAACAGATGCCATCAAAACTTTGTGCATTTGGGGGCCGATGATGAGATTCATTCTTTGTTGTAGAAATCCGGATCATGCTTGGTATCCATCGACATGTTTTAAACTCTTGGGTATTTTCTTAGCATGTTAACATCTGCGCCATATTTAGTACTCCTTAAAGATGCCTCGAGAGTGTGCGTGAATTTTCTTTATGGCAAATCGTCACTGAAAAGGGCTTATGTGTGTAATTGTTTCTTACAGTCGCTGAGACGGGGTAAGTACTGTACCCTTGGGCTTCCACAGTTTTATTTGGTCACTCAGTCACTGATGAAATAATGTGATATACGTCCTCTGTCCGTGAGCTGAAAACATGCCAGTTGCAGTACAAGGACTCGGGGTCCTGAAGCTCGAGGAGGGGCGCGTCACTGGGCCCCGCCAGCGCCTGAGCGGGCCCAGTGACTTCGGTGGCTCAGTGTCAGGGTTCTGTAGGAACTAGCAGCTCCCTGGTAACCTGGCGCAGTGTGAGGAAGAGGACGGGGGTGCTGGGATTCCACGACTGGGCCGCGACCACTCATATGGTCGGTGTGAATCTTCGAGAATCTCTCCACTTGTCCAGCGCAGCAGTTTTTTCTTCTGACCTAAAACAGATGGCTGTTTCTTCAGGAGATTCGTGGAATGAGGAAGTTGGCTTGCATTTCGGAGCCATGTTGCACAAAAAATTCTTATCTTCATAGCTCTGTAATGATAGTCGGTGCAGACCGTGCTTCTGGGATGAGAGGCATGTGGGAACTGAGATGCCCAGAGGGACAGGTCACAGGTTCATTTTTCTCCCCTGGGCATGCACTCTAGGTGGAAGGGTGCCCTCGCTCGCTTGCTCACTGCTTGCTCGCCCTCTCCCCCTCATCACTATCTCTGTTTCTCTCCGTGTGTTTCTCCCTGTTTATCTCCCTCCTTCCTCCCTCTCCTCCCCTCCCTTCCCTCCTTCCCTTCTTCCTTCTCTCTCTCTCTCTCTCTCCTTCTCATCTGTGCAGCGGAACATATATAAAAGCTCCGTGCATGTGTTGCTGGATTCTCAGTATCTAGAGAATAGACGGCGGGTTGGCCTCCCAGACAGCTTCATGAATAGTGTTTCTCGTAATTGTACTTTAGTACCTGTTGGGCGGCAGCAGACACGGTCATATTCTCTTTCTAGAACAGAGATTTTACATAATCTGTTTTGATTAAGGACAGATCCATAAGCATAGACCCTCCCCTGAGACTGGCATTTGGGTTGTCATAGGGGGTGGGAATACCAACTCGGACTGCTTCTATTGGAAATGGGCCTCTGCCCGTTATTAGCCCAGTGATATGGGCAAGTTACTTAAATTCCCCTCGATTTCACTTGTCTTTAAATAATACATGAAGAGGTTGGTAAGAACGGTGCCTGGCTGAGCACTCCGGGTATGTAGCTCTTCGATTTTGTGTTGTAAGTTAAGGAGTGAGAACAGACAGGTCTACCCCACCTCCCCACAGAAATTAGGATAAGCAGTATTCTGAATAGGACATTGGGAAATTAGATTTTTTCCCTCTGGTTGGTAACAATTTTATCCTTTTTTTTTTTTCCAGAGAAACCGCACCCAGGACTATCTTCCAAAGAGTCCTGGACATCTTGAAGAAATCTTCCCATGCTGTTGAGCTGGCCTGCAGAGATCCATCCCAGGTGGAGCACCTGGCCTCCAGCCTGCAGCTAATAACGGAATGCTTCAGGTGTCTTCGAAATGCTTGTATCGAGTGTTCCGTGAACCAGAATTCCATCAGGTAGTGTTCTTTGAGGTGACATACATACCTTTGATTGTATTTCCTTGCATATGTGTATGCTGGTCTGCCGTATAGGTTTATCGGTGAGAAATAGTTTTGGCATCACGGTATTATTACCCAGTGGTAACCACAAGGCTAAGATTACATCTCCAGGGGACCAGTGCTCTGCAGTCTTGCCACTGGACACTTGCAGGCGAGCATATAAATGATAGGACGTATAATAGAGTGTTTTTAACATTAAAGGTTATTTCGGTTTCTTCTCTTTCTAATATGTTTTGAGGTATTTGGTTATAGACATATAGCATGGTGATTTTAACTTAATTTTAATTACCTGATCCTAGATTCTGCCTTTCTAAAGGCATATACAGTTCTGGACCTCACTTTTCTTAGTTGTAAATGTTTTAATTAGTTTTAGTGTTTTAATTAGTTAGCCTTGTGTTTACTTTCAACAAGGAGTGTGTCTTGTAGGTTTCTAAGATGACCTATTTTAAAATTTTCTTTAGATCATGCAGAGTTGCAAGCTCTCCTTCTACCGATTTTATAAGGGGCATGTTTCTGAAAGGAGGTAAGAATATAAACGAGAGAATTATTAGGTGCCGTTTTTGTTCTTTTGCTTGTTACTCTCTCCTCCCAGAACTGAGCACCTTTCCTCTTTGATTTAATGGAATCTTCTTTTTATTACAAATTTTTACTTGAGATGAAGTCAGAAGCCACAAAGAGCACGCTCCCCTTTCTTTCCTGGACTTGAATGTAGACAGAGCCTCCAGGCCTCTCTGTCACTGCTGTGGTGGGTGAAGCTGGGCTGGTCCAGAAGCCACTCGAGGGACCCCCTTTGCTGCCTAGACGGTCTTATACCTGAGGCTTTGATGTGATGAATGAGATTTTTAAGATCAAAGGAGAGTGGGGATAAATGCCAGGGTTGTTTAATTTCAATACTAAGCAGACCTTGCTGTCCATTTGCAGGTAAATGCAGAGAAACATTAATAATGTTGCTAATAATAGTTAGCATTTTAGAACATAACTAGTTATGTGCTAGAAACGAAGCCAGGGGCGGAGGCTAGTTTGTTTTGTCCCTTTCCTGGCAGGGAATCCCCTCCGGTGTGATGGGGGAGGGAAAGGAGAGCCTTAGAACAGAAACTCTTGACTGCGGGCTGGCAAACGCATCCTTGTGCCTTGCCAGCCTCGCCGAGAAGGAAGCGAGCGTTCGGTGGGCCTGCCCTCCACACCAGGCTTTGTCCCCAGGGCTTAACTGCAGTGTCTTGTTTTATTTCTAGAACAAACCCAAGAAATAGCATGCTACTGTTTTTCCACTTTCACAAAAGAAGAAACTGTGACTCAGGCTAAGGAACTTGTGTGACAGTCCCCCATTCCGTGAATGGTAGAGCCAGGGAATGCTCTCTGTGACTCCCAAGCTCAGCTCAGAATCAGTTGTCATAACTGCCCTGAGACACCTGCTGACCCTGTTGTGGGTGACTGCTCCATCCTTTGAACGGCCACGGGACCCTGAACTGGGGCCTCGACCTTCCTGAGGACCGGTCTTCCCCTCTGGAAGTCAGGGCAAGCAGTATCTCCCACCCAGGGCTGTTGGGCATTTTAAATGAGATTACTTATGCAAATTGCTTCCTGTGCTGTGCCCACTGTCTGCTCAGTAACTGTGTTTCTGCCCCCCGGGAACGCTAGTGCAATAAAAGTGTATGATAATACAACTTTCTTAGCAATTAATCTTTATTTTCTTTTTCTGAGTGTACAAGTGATATGCAAACTATAAAAATTCAAACATTGCAAGAAAAATACTGTGGCAGATGAAATATCAGCTGTCTTCTGGCAGGGCCATCTTCTGGGGGGCAGGCACTGAGCCACTCTTCCTACCAGTCTTACAAGTAAAGAACAAAGGAGCAGCTCCTTTGTTGCTCCCTCTGACCGTCTGGCCTTGGGGAAGGCCGAGAGGGCCTACCTGTGTCCACACCACCCCTGACCCTCTTGTTCTTTTTTTTTTTTTTTATTCTTACGTTAATCGACCCTCTTGTTCTTTAAGGAGTGAATGTCTTGGCTTAATTCTGATTCGTGTGGAGAAGCGAAGGTAGGGAGCTGTTTCTGTTGTGCTGTAACAGATCGCCGCAAACATAGTGGCTTGCTCAGACAACAAGTTTGTTATCTTACCGTTCTGAGTCAGAGGTCCAGAATCAGCCTCATTGACCTCAAGTGAGAGAACCAGTAGGGCTGGTAGTAGAGATTCTCTCTCTCTAGCAGAGAATCCATTCCCTGGGTTTTCTACCTTCTAGAGACTGCTTGTATCCCTTGTTCACGGCTCCCATCTTCAAAGCAACACCAGAGTGTCTTCAGTGACTCTGTGACTCCCACCATCATGCATCCCCCTGCTAAGGACTCTTAGGATTACATGATGCCCACCCAGATAATCTAGAATAATCTCCCCATTGCAAAACCATTAATTTAATCATATCTAAAGTCTCTTCTGATATTTTCTGACCAGTTTTGATTCTTCAGCAGCAGCTGGGTGTCCAGCAATTCAGTTCCATTCTGACACCACCTGCCTGGGGTCAGTGGCATCAGATCCCATAACTTAAAGGACTCGGTCCCATAAGACGGCCCCACTTCAGATGCGAACGGGTTGCCCGAGCTACATTTCTGCCTAGCTGATGCCATTGTTCTCCCCACCACAGTCCACCCCGTGGCCCCTAAAGATTCTGTGTGCGGAATGCATTCGTCCCTTCCCGAGGCCCCACATTTTTTACCCTGACGGCATCAACTCGAGTCCAGAATCTCATCTAAGTCTCATCAGCTGAAAGTCCCAAATCTCATTATCCAGTCATCTGAATTACTTACGGGTCAGACTCTGGATGTGTGCATCCTGGGGTAGAATTCCACTTTATCGGTGTACCTGTGAAACCGGACCAGTTACCTGCTCTCCAAATGCAGTTTGGGGGCAGGCCTAGGATAACCATTTTGGACATTATCCTTTGAAAGAGGAGAAAATAGAAGGAAAAGAGGAATCACTGATCTCGAGCAAAGCCATTTCAGCTAGGTTTCAAGGTCTGGGAATAATCGTCTGGAGCTTGAGGCTGTGCCCTTGGCCCTGCCCTCAGAGTCACCCTTCCTTTTTCCCAAAGGGAGGATGTGTTTGCACCTGAGTCGTTCCATCAGTCTACTTCCTGCCTATAGAATTTTGGGAGTCTGACACTTTTTTTTTTTTTAATTTCATCCTTTCTCTGTGCATTTTGTCCAAGTTGGCAGAGTTTCTCCTGGTAAAACATTTTCAACAATGGTGTGGCTCTCACATGTATGTCATGGGGATTCCCACGATTAGACAAGAGGGTCCTGCACAGAGCTTTTCTAGATAACCCCATCTCTATTCCTCGGTTCTGCCGAAGTGACAGAGGGGAATGAGTCCCACCGTCATCTGTTCAAAGAGCCCCCTCCCGCCCTGGGACTGAACACTCTGACCTTTTGATCGTTCCTAGGCATGAGCAAAAGGTTGTCCACCTAGCCCCTTGGCTTTCTCTGCAGAGCACTCCTTCTTGCCAGTGACTGTCCCGGTTTTAGCATCTTTTGCCATCTGGCTAGACTGAGAATTTCCCAAAGCAAGACCCGATTCTCTCTTCATCTCCTTTATCTCTCCCCTTGGCCTTTTATTAGATGCAACAGGAAGCAGTCAGGTCACACCTTCAGCATGGGGCTTGGAAATGTGCTCAGCTCAATATCCAAGTTCATCATTTTGCTGAGCTTCTGCCCCTGTGGGTAAAAGGTCCCCTTTCCCCAGTTTCCAGGGATAGGTTCCTCACTTCCTTCTGAGCCCTCACTGGCCTTGCCTTTGGCGTCCACGTGCCCACCAGCAGCCCGTGAAGGCGTCTGAGCGTTTCCGATGCTGCTCACTGTTCTTCCAGCCCCTGCCCACTGCCAGCTTCCCGAGCCGCTCCCACATATTTGGATGTTTATCTACAGCAGCATCGCTACTCCTGCTACCCCAAATCTGGATTACTTTCCTCCTGCTGCTGTGACGAATTACCAAATGCTCCGTGGCTTTAAACCAACACAGAGTTGTTATCTTTTGGTTCAGGAATTCAGAAGGCTAGAATGGGTCACTGGCTGAGTTCCCTGTGGAGGCTGTCGGGGAAAATCCATTTCCTGGCCTTTTCTAGAAGCTTCTAGAAGCCTCCTGCATTCCTGGGCTCACGGCCCCTTCCCCGACTCTGACACCCTCTTGTATTCCTCTTTTTTTTTTTTTTTAAGATTTTATTTATTTATTTGAGAGCGAGAATGAGAGAGAGAGAAAGCATGAGAGGGGGAGGGTCAGAGGGAGAAGCAGACTCCCTGCCGAGCAGGGAGCCCAATGCGGGACTCGATCCCGGGACTCCGGGATCATGACCTGAGCCGAAGGCAGTCACTTAACCAACTGAGCCACCTAGGCGCCCCTTGTATTCCTCTTTTAAGGACCCTTGTGATCCCATTGGGCCCACTGGCTAATCCAGGGTGATCTTTCCATCTCAAGGTCCTGAATCTACTCACAACCCTGAGGTCCGCTTTGCCTTGGGAGGTAACACATTCGCAGGTTTTGAGATAATGTTGCGGACAGCTCGAGGGGTCACGATTCTGTTTACCACAGATGCCGTGAGCCAGTAGTCGCAGCTCCGTTCCCCGGATCATCATTTGAAATGCAGGCTCAAGAAAATTAATGGGTCTGACTTTGTCTTTTTAAAAAAATCTTTTATAGGAACTTGGATACAATTGGCGTTGCTGTTGATCTGATTCTTCTTTTTCGTGAACTGCGGGTTGAACAGGAATCCCTGTTGACAGGTACTGTGATTCATGGGTTATTTGTACCTTTGAAAAGGATTTAAAAACCACAGCTTTGAGTTAAAGCAAATGTTTTGTATTTCGTGATACGGAGAAACTTATTTAGTGATGTTAGCGAATTAGCATAAGAGAAGGTTGCCACAACTTCCTTTCCTTGCTCTGTTGTGGGCTGAGTTACGCCCCTCTACTCTCCCCCAAATCCATATGGTGGAGCCCCAACTCCTACCACTTCAGAATGTGACTGGATATGGAGACTGGGCCATTAAAGAGATCAGTAAGGTAAAATGGAGTCCTACGGGTGGGCCCTAATCCATTATGGCTGGTGTCCTTGTAAGAAAAGGAGGTCAGGACACAGACAGACACAGAGGGACGACCAGGCGAGGACACGGCAAGAGGACCACCATCTGCAAGCCCAGGAGCAGGGCTCAGAAGGAACCAACCCTGCCCACACCTTGATCTTGGACTTCTACCCTCCAAGTCTGAGAAAATAAATTCCCGTTGTTTAAGCTGACCAGTCTGTGGTGCTTTGTTAGGGCAGCCCTTGGAAAGTAATACAGCGTCTCTGTATTACTCGTGTGGATGTGGCATGCCTGTTCTCGGTGCTGGGTGTGATCCCAACAGTGAGGAGAGCAGACAGAAGAATCTTTGCCTCCGCGTGTTTACAATGCAGCGAGGGGAGTCCGCACTAAATATGTTACGTAAGTCAAGTATATGGCGTGACCGAGAGGGAAGGAAGCTCTGATTGTTCATAGCTGTTGATAAGGGATTAAGAGAAAAACCAGGCCTCTTAATTTGAAGACCAGGAAGCTTTTCTAGACTTTTTGGTGAATGTTTTTGGTTCCTAAACTATTAGCATCCATACTTGTCCTTTGGACAGGGGTTATTATCGTAATATCATAACAGTAAACAGCACTTTAACATACGACCTCTTTATCCAAGGACTTGAAACACTTATGGGCAAACCCAAGTCATTTAATAATGAAATCTTTTTATTTATTTGTTTGTTTATTTTTTAAGTAAGAAAATCTTAATGTAAATGTCCATCTTATAAGAAGATGTACTAGATTGTCGGTTGGAAGAATTCTTCTTAATAATAATCTAACAAATGCTTCCTCTAAAGGAGAAATCTGCAGCTGTTTGTAAAATCTGATCTGATTTACAGATTGATTTCCGTTAGCTCTCAGTGCCTTCACTGACTAAACAGTGAGGCCTGCTTCTCTCACGTTGATACACTTGCTGCTGTTGGCAGGCAGGTAGGGAACTCGAGGTGGCAGCCTCTTCACAGGTGGAGAAACAGAGGCACAGAGTATGGTGGCTACATTAGCTGTCAGAGGTGCTGCTTGCTTGGTTTAGTTCTCCTACTATTCTGTGATTCCTTCGTGTTCTCATGTAAAACTCCTTTGTTAAAATTCGTGCATCTTTCTACTTGATTTAGAGTTCTTCCTTTGGGAAATTGTAATTATCTCTTGAATTAATTACATCATCTTCGACTCTGCGCACAAAGTGTTTGCTCTATGTTTTTTTGGACAGCGGTAGTTTCTCAGGTATTGTCAAGAAACTGATAGGGTGTAGGGTTTAGTGGGAAAGTGTTTTTAAGATGTTACATATTTAAAGATCTTCTTGTAGCTCCATTTTATGATACAGCAGAAGCCTCCGTGCTCAAATTGGGGGATGAAAAATCAGCAGTAAAATCCAGATTTCCCTCTGTCACATGGAAAAGCAGCCTATTTTTGAAGTCTGTGTGTGGTATGGCAATTCAGAAAGAGTTCAGAACGTACTGCATTTTATAATTACTGGAAAATACTGATGTGGTGGATAGTGTGTTACTGGCAGTGCCGAAACGCCGTGGTGGGCAGAAGAGGGTTTCCCTGGTGATGATGTATTCCTAAATAAGACACCCGAGAGGAAGCACCGCACGGATGCTGTGATTAAAGAGCCATCAGAGCGAGCCAGCCCTTCCTTGGCGCGGTGAACCCCATCCCCGCACACCCACTGAGCGCCGTGTCTCCTGAAATTACCCCCTCCCTCTGCTTCCCGTCCTTCTGTCAGCACGTTATGTGCCCTCCTGCCTTCCCTGGACTCCCTGGGCTGCTCTGCTCCATCCGGGATCAGCCACAAAAGACTTAGAATGTGGTGTTTATGTGATAAAACACTGTTTCACGGGATCGATGTTCTCTTCACTGAAGCAATCCATGATCTAACAGAAAACCTAAAGGAGCCAATTTCTGACACTTTTTATGACCTGGTTTGTCACTGATGGAGAAATTGGTTGTGTGGCTGGTGGCCTGGCTTTTCACCAGCCAGAGGGCACGTCTTCATATGCCTGTGTTGTGTTGTGTTGGTGTGTCAGAGTGTTTCACAGTTTTGGCAGCTGCAGTTGAATTTAATTAAGGAACGTATTTCTTACATGACATTCATGCAGTGTACAAAGTAACTGCTTTAAAGTGAACAACCAAGTGGCCTTGAGAGTGTTCACAATGTTGTGCAACCACCACATCTAATTGCAAATACTTCCATGGTTCCGAGAGGAAAGCCTCTACCCACTGAGGGTTCTGTTTTCTGTCTTTATGGATTTACCAATTCTGGATTTCTCATGTAAGTGGCATCCGAGAATTATGGGACCTGTTCGCCTGGCTTCTTTCAGGAAGCAGAATGTGTTTCAGAGTGTACGTATATTGTAGCAGGTATCAATACTTCGTTTGTTTAGATGACTGAATAATACTCTGTTGTGTGCACGTTTTGTGTATCCATTCATTCATTGGCGGCCACTTGGGTTGTTTCCGCCATTTGGCTGTGGTGCCACCGTTTGGCCATTTAGAACAGCACTGCTCTGAACATGCCTGTATACGCATTTATTGGAGTCCCGGTTTTCTGTTCTTTTGGGTATATACCTAGCAGTAGAATTGCCGGGTCAATTTCCTATTTAAATTGTTAAGGAACTGCCAGACTTTTCTCAGCACCTGTGAACTGTTTTACATTTTTGCCAACAGCGTACAGTATTCCAGTTTCTCCACATCCTCGCCGGTGTTTATTTTCCTTTTTGGGGGTTATAGTCATCCTGATGGTTGCGGAGTGGTGTCTCATTGTGGTTTTGATTTGTGTTTTCCTCATGATTAATGATACTGAACATATTCTTATGTGCTTGTTTTGGCCATTTGTAAATCTTCTTTGGGGAAATGTCTCGTCAAGTTCTCTGCCCAGTTTTTAATTGGGCTGTTTGCCTTTTTGTGGTTGAGTTGTTTTTTTTTTTTTTTTTTAAAGAATTATTTATTTATTTTAGAATGAGTGTGTGCAAGCAGGGGGAGGGGCAAAGGAAGAGGGGAAGTAGACTCCCTGCTGAGCTGGACTCTGGGCTCCATCCCAGGATGCTGAGATCATGACCTGAGCTGGAAGCAGATGCTTCACTGACTGGGCCACCCAGGCGCCCCCGTTGTTGAGTTTTAAGAGTTATTTCTATAGGGGCGCCTGGGTGGCTCAGATGGTTAAGCGTCTGCCTAACCGCATCGGGCTCCCTGCTCAGCGGGAAGCCTGCTTCTCCCTCTGCATCTCTCTCTGTCTCTTATGAATAAATAAATAAAATCTTAAAAAAAAAAAAAGAGTTATTTCTATATTGTGCATACTAGCAATTAGGTGGAGTCTGTAGATCCACTTGGGGAGACTTGCCATCTTCATGATACAGAGTCTTCCAGTCCATGACATGGGCCATCTCTCCCCTGTTCTAGGTCTTTACTTTCCACTGTGTCAGCTTTACGTAGATGATGTGAATTTGTAGGCAGAGTTGGATGGATATTACTGAGGCAAGGAGGCAAATGGGAGTTAAATAGTGTTTTTTGCTTTTTTCTTGAAAAGGGCGGTCCACAGTGTTCCTGAATTTGTTTGGAATTCCACAGTGAAATTTGGATTCTACAGTGAAACTTAAAAAAATTTTATAGTATGTTAGTTCAAGCCTAATACAAGCCTTCGAAAAGTATTCTGGTTCTTAATAAAGTGCCCCTACTGTGTTGTGGCTATTTCTCTGTGAGAACCTTATTCTTGGTGGATTTTTAGCAGCGTATCTGTGCTAGCGTTTTGTTACCAATCTTGAGGTAAACACTGTAATTACATTGTCAAAATAATATTTAGAGTATTATTTTCAGAGAATAATTGCAGTGGTGTGACAAATATATTATGCTCATCAAATTTTATGTAAACACAGGCATGAGTTATTTTAATTGAATTATTGGTGGTGTTTTTGGCCTTTATTTGTTTTTAATCTGTAAAAATAATGTTGAGACTTTTGAGGGGCTTTGTAACATTTGCAGTATTTACACAGATCACTTGATAAGCTGTTTGGTAAAAGTAAACTGTCATTAGTACTTGTTTGGAGTTTTCTTTTCTTGCTGCTGGGACATCTTTAAACCTTTTCCTTCCTGGAATTGTGTTCTGATTCAGAGTGCTAATTTTTAGTTGCCCAAATGATTGTTAGGTCAGTTGGCTTACAACTTACATTGTTGGCTTGTGTGTGTGTGTGTGTGTGTGTGTTAAATTAAATTCTACAAGGGTTTGTGTGTTAATATTCTAAACTATTCGGTAAAAATATAAATTGTCATTTTAAATTGTGACAAGATTAAAAATGGGGATATAAGTTTTCATTATAAACAATTTCTATGATTTCATTATAGAGTAATTTTTAAAAACTCAGAAAAGGGGAAAGAAAAACAGTCATCACGTATACGCAGGCTGCTTTGGACAAACACTTGGCTGTTTTAGTCCCTTGTCAGTATTTTGCCTGGGAATGAGTGTGTGCCTGCAGTTTTATATCTTCTTTTAGATTGTGAAGGTAATTCAGTTTTGAAGTTCTTGGTTCATCATTTTCTTGTCTTTGTATTTCTTAGTATTTCTTTGTATTCTTATCTCAGTGTTTCCATATTTGGCCACGATTCCAGAACTCTCTGAGCCTGCGATTGCCGAGTTACTGTGAGCAGGTGATGGGCACAGGCACATCGCGTATCTCTTCCTTC